CTTTCGACTCTTGCACAAACTACTTCTTCACTCCTAAAAGATGTGGAATTGGGAGGGGCGATTTCAATTGGTGGACGACTTCCTGCCTCTTTTTCTCCGCCTTCAAATTCAGCGACAAGTCAAAAGGATAACAAAGGGAAGGTCAGAACACCAGTTTTGGTAGCGGGCGGAAACAGAAAGTCGGAAATAACAAGGACAGCGTTGGAAAGGGTAAAGAATACATTTGCAGAAGTAGAATATGTAAAATGGGAGAGAGAAGGCGATGGGATGATGAGGGGAGGGAGGAGGTGCTGCCATTGATGAGATTTTGGGGTAGGAGGTTGAAGATGGGGGCTCCGGAGGGGATGACAGAGGTCTGAGATGGAGAGGAGAGGCGAGGTGAGGTGAGGGGGCATAACGAGATATTAGGACGTTATGAGTGGAATTTGAGTGGGTTAATTCGTCAGTGATACCAAGGTTTCAATTCCAAGATCTCGGGGGTCGAAATTGCCGACGGCATATTGCTTTGGCCTAACAACACGATGCAGACAGTTCTGTATAGGTGTTTTGCTACATCTCTGCTATACATACTCATCTTTCATTGCCTAGGTATGAGATAGTGAGCTTTTTTTGCTATAGATGATTCAATGGGTTTGGTCTGGGTAAGGGTACCGAAGGGGGTTTCAGTTTCCTGCTTGAAGTTAGGAAATAGAATATTCTAGAGACGACCCGTTTCATATGGCAATTTGATACTGCTCAGAGATAGTACCGTGGTATATGATTTGGTTGAGTATGCTTCCATCATCAAAGAGCCACCAGCAAGAATTTCAGATAGATGTCAATCTTCGCGTTTGCCATTTGCTCACAGTGATCCGCATATTATAGTTATCATCAATCGTTTGTTATATAACTGTAGCTATTTATTCAGGTTTTATCTCATCTCCCATTTGTCTTCCTCGTTCTCATTTTTTCAACATTCAATTTCCCCTCCCAACATCCAACCCCAATATCGTTTACCAAAAAGCAACCCATCGCTATGTTTACTATCTTATATATGCTTGAAACTCGCTTTCTGTAGGTAGAAATCTTTATTGCATGTTTGATACACTACATTTGTCCCCAATCTTTATCATTCTCGAAAAAATATAAATATTTCTTTTTGTGTCTAGTGGGTCGACTTTTTAATTATATACTCCGAGACCAGTGTTTGGAGTGGTTTTTAAGGTGTGCTTATGGAAGTCATTTGTTTGTCTACTCTCATATGACCATAGAAACATGTTCTCCTGTAAGGTTAATCAAAAAGACACGATACCCGAGGGTGATTGCCGTACAAGCATGTCAGATTTTGAATGGCAAAAAATTGGGAGGAACATCGTAACCCCGTAGATCTACCTCAGCAAAGCATGAGATAGATATGCACAATAGATGACTGTGATGCTTAGGAAGGACTGATCCTCGTTATCATTCAAGTTCTTGAAATCTAAACCCAGCTTTCCTTTGGTTACTATTCACTCATCCTCCTCAAAATCATCTTTGTACCAAATCACCACTATTCTCTTTCACTTTTTTTCGTGGAGATGCGCGTTCATGTGGGTTGAGTCCTTCTTAATATGCTGAATTGCATGATCTCTTCCTACCAGAGTCTTGCCCTTTCTTACAGCCTTTATTCAAGTGATGCCTGGCCTTTCGAGAACTACGTTATGGCTTTCAAAGATGTGGCGATGTTAATCCTGATGATGACCAAGTTGTTCTACCTTCAGAAACCTAGAAAGGATGGATTTTCGATATGCTGCTGGCAGATCTCATATCTCTCACATATTGTTCTGTGCCACGGCTCATCGACGATACATCTTTTCTCGTCCTACATCCTTTTCAATGTTTTGACCTTTTTCAATCCTATATCTCTTACTTGTCTTATTGTTATCCTATACTTTATTCTGTATCATGCGCCCAATGGAACCCACGATTTGTCCTGCCGAATGTGTTCTGCTTCTGTACGCCTTTCGCTAGCTTTTGTGCTCAAGATTGTGAGAGCTGGCGGAGTCTACAGCCACAGTCTGGCTTGGTGCCCGACGTTGAAAGCTTCTAACTTCTGAATCTAATTGGTCTTGCCAGATGATTTGAGATCCAAGTTCGAAATGAAGACATCCTCTCTAGACCCAAGAGACTCGGAAGAAAAAAATAACTGATGGAGGGGTATTTTCATTGTAACCCATACTGGAGGAAACATGAGCAGAATTTTTTAATTTTTTTGAGGATAATTACAAAGTCTAGATTCCACTGAGATAGCTTTTGTGTCTACCTACGTTTACCACCGTCACCTCTTTTTGCGTATGCGGGAGGGATCGTTCAGCGAATTGACATGGTCAAATCAAATGCTGGTCTCGGATGTTAGAAAAGCCCGAAGACCCGCTTACCGAAGCATACTTCATCCCATTTACCGAACGAGGAGAGAAGACAGGGTATTCTCACGATGAGAAGGCACGAAGGATCTATGACTCTATGAGACTTCACATCGAGAAGCGAAATCAAATGATCAATACACCAAATCACATCAAAATCCACTCATGCCAGGGCTGTGCAAATCTATCATGTCGCTGGTCTTTGACCACACCAGGTCCACTTCTAAAGCGCTGCCTAAATAAGAAGTTGTTTTGACAAGTATCTCGAAAATCATATAAAGGCATATGAAGCGTGGAATCAAATCAACAGTGCAAAAAACAACCAGAAAGATGATGGCTATGACTACACCCAAATTGAAAGTCCTAATTTCGGGCGCTGGCATCGCCGGGCCATGTCTCGCATACTGGCTTGCTAGAACCGGACTCAACGCGTCAGTCAAAGTTATCGAGCGATCACCGGTTCCAAGAACAACTGGACAAGCAATCGATATACATGGTGCAGCTGTTGAAATTGCGAAGAAAATGAATATCGAGGAAGCTATTCGCGCGCGAACGACGACCGAAGCGGGTACAATGCTTTTGAATTCTTCAGGGAAGCCATTCGCGACTTTTACAGTTGGTGATACCTTTACATCACGTTACGAAATTTTGCGGGCTGATCTATCTGATCTCATTTTGGAAGCTAGCAAGAGATTCGATAACATCCATTATACGTATGGTGATTTTGTCCAGTCTCTCGATCAGACGGAGACGGGTGTCGATGTAATTTTCGATGGTGGATTAAAAGAGACATTCGACTTGGTTGTAGGTGCAGATGGGTCCACATCAAAGATTCGATCCATGATTTTGGATAAGGAAGCCCTCAGAGACAGCTACAATTTCATCGGTCAATACATCGCTTTTTTTAGCATCCCAAGTCAACCAAATGATTCGAAATATTGGGAGATCTTCAATGCACCAAAGGGTCTGTGTATGATGATGCGACCACATCGGAATCCCTCTACCAAAGGCGTTTACCTTTGTATCACGATGCCAAAACACGGAATATGCGACCCAGTGGTGGAGAAAGCCATGGAGGAAGGGATCGAAGCCACGAAACGTATGCTTCATTCATACTTCGAAAATTGTGGCTGGGAAGCAAGGCAAATTTTGGAGGGATTGGACAAGTCCGACGACTTTTATATGGCAAAAGCCGCACAGGTCAAGGTACCAAAATGGACGAATGGGCGTGCTGTAGTGATTGGAGATGCTGCAATGGCAACCTTCGGCGTTGGGACTACTTTGGCTATTGACAGTGCCTATATCCTGGCCGGAGAATTGTCGAAAATAAAGAGCAGTGCTGACATCCCAGAGGCGTTACAAAGATATGAAAAGACATTCCGACCAATCTATAAGAAGATGGAGGATCTTCCACCTGGCTTTCCACAAATTGCCATGCCTCAAACTAGATGGGGTATGTGGATTAGAGATTCCATAATCTGGTTTATTGGTAAGACGAAGGTTCATAAACTTCTTCCCGAAGATCGGAACACTGATCATGAGTTGCCGAAATACGATTGGATAAAAAGTTAAAACGGAATCTTGGTGGGCGGCCGAGGAACATCAGGCAGAGAGAACTGCACCATTGCTTGAATTTATAATAACAGTCATAATTTACATGAGTGGCCAGAAAGCAAGCTCGATAGTTACTCGAATTATGTATAACCAGTTATTGAAGAACTGATCAGTATAAAGTACAGGAACCTTATACAAGGCCGTTTCTCAACCCTCAAATCCTGCCAGAATTTTCCCAAACATCTCCCCCATCCTCCAGCACCCAAGCCCTCTCAAACCTCTCCCCGCCCTTCTAATCGCTTCCTTAACTTCCTCCCTCTCCGCACCCTCCAGCCGCGTCCTCAGCTCTTTATAAACCCAACAAACCAACCCCCCCGTGAAAAGACACACCGCGATCTCATAGCTTGCTTCTTCCGTTGTCTCGCCGGCTAGTCCGATTGTTCCTAGTATGCCATCTCCTCCGCTCCTATCCCTCAATCTTATGCACTCTTCGGATAAATTGAGCATTTCATACACATTTTTCATTGTACCACCCACAATGTCTGAGTTTGCCCAATATTTCAAGTTAATTGCCGCAAAATCGCAATCTTGGCGGCTTGAAGATCGACCTGCCATCAAGTGCACGTCACTGAGACTAACATCCAAACTAACAAGTCCCAGCGCGCAGAGAAGCCTTCCAGCTACAGATAGTTCTCCGGGAGTTGCCCCGTAGCATTCATTCCACGAATTTAATGCATCAATTAACCATTTCCTTCTACTCAGAAGCCCAGCACCAATATCCAGTGCGTGATTCCCCATGGTGCCCATCAATCCTGTAGGATTTAACATAGAGACTGATGTACGCCAGTCAAATATCAGAGTATGTATTGCATAAAGAACGAGGGTTTTCCCAAAGACTGTGGTTGGGATGACAGGTGGAGGAGGCTTAGTCCATTTATGAAGAAGGATACCATTCAAAGCATGGAGGTAATATGTTGCAGGTGGGATGTCGGCTGGACCAAGGAGCATCTTCCAGGCTTGTGGCGATGGCGCTTCCCAATGCTGTTCCGGGCACGGAAAGACGCAATTTGTGGTTTCGGCCCTACTGATAGACGGTTGCACATTGAACAAGGTAGCGTATTGACAGTCGAAAATCTGTTCAAGTGTCAGCAACGAATATGCGAGTGATCGAGAAAGCATACATAAATCGACAGCCCAAGCCGCTTTCTTTTCTCGGTCTCTATCCACGAAAACCATTCAATCTCTTGTGGTGAGTTTCTGGGTAGCGAGCTTGGATCAAGCTGCACTCTAGATATTGGCCTACAATCCAGCAAACGAGCTCGTCGACCAGCTGTTATCAAAATCCCCTTCACACCTTCAGCAAATTCATACATTTTCTTACTTCCACCCCAAGCCCCAGCGAGTAAAAGGTTAAATAATGTAAAAATGTTGTCAAGAATCCGAAGCTACACAATCGTCAGCCGAGATAATTACAATTGAACGATTAACTAACGTGTTTCTCTTCGATCTCATGTAATCTCATGCTCGCTACCCTTGCTCGATTATGGAATAGTCGCAAGAATCTGCCACGATCTGCCCTTGAATAACATGAACCCAGAAACATCATCGACAAAACTAGAAGAGGAGAGCTGGCGAAAATGTCAAAGGTTGGGACATGGGTGATAGGAAATCGCGGATGTACATGGCGAAAATAAAGCCGGAGGAAAAAGTCCAGTACTTCTGAGGGTGGAAATGTCGAGACATTTATCTCGACGTACACCGCATCACCTGATTCGGCAGGAAATTCAATTTGTAACATGCCTAGTAGCGTTGATCTTAATACATCGTTCACCTGCTGGCTTGGACCTGCCGTGAAGCCGCTCCTTCTGGCTTCATAGGAAGTTGCATGCCATGATTCTGGACCTAGCCGGGGAATAGGCTTCGGGCCCCATCGTGGTGGACTTTCTAATCTACTGACTTTATCCGGCCAATCTTCCTCATCCCCTTCAGCGTCCAGGTCAATTGATTGACCTCGAGAATCGGACTTGACAAAATCTGAGCCACAAAGACCGAAGTCCAGATCCATATTGCTCCAAGAATCTTGGCTGAAGCAGTCCAATGTCCAGGATATATCTGCATCATATGATCCCATGTAGATACTTGGGCTATCATTGTAAAGCATGAAACCATCCCATGAGTTGGGGTTTAAGCTTCCCGAGACTTGAAGTCTATTTTCAACTGGAGGTGGTGCCAGTGCAGCTTCAACTAGACTTGAAAGGCCTTGGGATTGAGTTGGAGGTGTGCGAGAATCAGAATATAATGCTTCTTGAATTGGTGGCAAGCTATCGAGATTGCCACCACGCCATTGCATACTCGGAGGTAATGCAGTTACAAAATCATTATTGATTGGAATAGAGAGCTCATCACGATGGACAAGATTGGAAATTGGTTGGGGTTCAGATGGGGAAGCTGAGGCGGATTGAGGCATCACGTGGGATCGTGCATTACCAGCGCGTTTATCTGAACCATGATTTTGGTTATGTATCCGACGATGGCGACTTAATAAGTCACTTCTCGTGAACCTTTTCCTACAAACTGGACAAGCAAATTTGCCAACTTCATCATCTGATTTTAAAGGAATGTGATTAGCACGTGACAGGTATCAATACCTAGCTTTCTAGGTTTCCTTTGAATCATGAAAATTTGGCAGGTAGAGTTGTTAAAAGTTGGATAACGCGTGCAAGTGAGAACCAAACAGGTATCAGAACAAAAACAAGAAGGAGCGAAGCGACAGATCATAAACAGATGGACATGAAACGATTACTTACGATTGGCTTGATGTCTAGTTAAATTTTCAATCCTACTAAAATTCTTTGGACATTGAGGACATTGAAATCGATTCCCGGTGACTGTTGATTTAGCCGGTGAGGGTCTATTTGGACTTCCCTTTGCAGAACTGGTTGAAGAAGTACCGGTAGTACTTTGTGGAGTTTCATTGGCACCACTACCACTACCAATGGCAGTTAAATCATCATACGAGGCAATTGGATGGTTACTAGTATCCATGCTCAACGTTATACAGTGGATTATTTATCTCATAGGATGGCGAGCTGTCTCGTTTTCCCTCGGTCTTTCGGTCTCTCCGGTTTCTCGGTATCGGATTGTATTGATTGTGCTGTTCGTATTGTTCGTATCGTATCGTATCGTATCGTATCGTATCGTATCGTATACAATTGATCAATCAGTCGTATGAGATATCATGTCATTGATCAGGTTATCTCATAGAGAAAGGTGGACGGTGAGGACGGAAATTAAGATCATGGAGGATGGCGGGGAGGCGGGTCAAATCATGTAAGATATTTGGGGTACGAAGTGAGGTTGATGGCTCTGAATGTGGGGATTTGGATCAAGTGAAGAAAAGAATAGAAGGGAGTGAAAGAACATCAGGTGGAAGACTCCATAGAAATCATTGTACTTATGGTTGATGTGGGTTACCGGAAGTGGACGGAGAATATCCGGTTAAATGTCACTACTACCTTGTCTCGAACTTGTCTATCTTGTAGCTAGCAGACCACAGACCCCTTGCTTTCCTCCACTACTCTACTCTATTCCCAACCTTCAATGACGCTCCCGTGGGCCACTACAATGAAGATTGTTTTGCTTCGCTCCGGTGGAAGGGAGTTAGCTAGTAGGTAGGTAGGTAGGCAGATTGATATCCCTATCTTTATAGGGGCATTCTAATCGATCGAAGCGGATCAATCTCCATGGCGGTGATTCAACGGAGTGTCATTAAATCAACAAGATAGCCTTTAAAGTGTCGAATCTTTTCTAGACCTGTGATCAGGAGTGTAAGGTAGAAATAAATAAGAAAATAGTTCTATATTGCTTCAGGATACGTCGTAAAAGCAGAATTTTCATACTAATCATCTCAAACCAAATCACGCTTTCGCTTTTCGCTTCCACTCCATCAAATGAACTTGATGAGTCCTCATGACTGCGCCTTAGCTTTCCAGTCCTCATGAGCTTTCTTTTGTCTGTCCCAGTCCTTCTTCAACTTTTTCAATGCACTTTTGGGTACATCTTCTCCATCTTTCGTCTTCGTCGGCATACCATCAACATCCCATGCACTAAATCTATCATCCTTGAACATATCCACTGGGCTGAGTTTTGCTTTTTCGATCCTTTCTTGTTCCAACTTCTCTCTCGCAAGTTTGGCGACTTCTTTTTGTGCTGCCTTCTCTCTTTCCTTAGCGGCTTTCTCCTCTTTTTGTGCTAAAAGTTCTTCTTTTGGAATGAATTTGATAAGCGAACCTTGTTCGTCTGGTCTATCATCCAAATACACACCGAGATTCGTGAGATCGTTGTCCCGAATTCGATCAGATAATGCCAGGATATGTTTCTTATGTTCAGAGGTTGGTGCTACTCGCCTCAACTCATCTCTAGTCCTCGCAACGGCCCGAATATATGGGAGAGCGAGAGATTCCTGATCTTTTGTTCCCGAAGATACAAGCAAGGCAAATTCGCTGTCAACATCCGTGGTGAGCAACTTGTCAAGAGTCTCGGTATGTAACGACAAGCTTTCAATTTCTTCTTTGACTTGTCTGAAGACGTCAGAAAAAGGTGCAACAACCTGTTCGGGGTATGATTGCTATCAACAGAAGCGCTAGCCCAACCAAGTCCATCATATGGTGCTTTTGCATTTGCATCGAGACCGAAGATGCCAAGTATCTTTGTAATCCATCGAGCAACTTTCTCTAGTCCCTGGATGTCAAGATCAGATTTGTGAGAGCCAATGTGGACATTCGATTCCTTGATTAGCTCTTGCAAAATAAGCATGGCTCTTGGCGTATCAAAGGATTCTGTGAGGGCGGTCTGAAGATCTGCCTGTGCCTTGTCCAAGACTGTTTGCAATTCTGGATGGATCGAAAGAGTTTTCAAGTCCTCGACGGATGTCGAATTTCCACCCTCAATGATGTGGGATTTGACATTGACAAAGAAGTTGTTAACCGTCGCTTCCCATGCGTCGGCCATCAGCCTCATATCTGGCGAAATCTCAACACCATCATTCCATCTTCCCATCAAAAATACTATTCTCATTGACCTTGGAGTATAATCAGTAGCTAGTGCATCTCGAATGGTCTGGAAATTCTTCAATGACTTCGACATCTTTGATCCTGCAATAGAAAGATGCCCCATGTGCAAGAAGTAGTTTACCCACTCGTGTGGGCCATGCTCATGTTCACAGAAATATGCCTCACTTTGTGCCAATTCGTTGTCGTGATGAGGAAACGCGAGATCAATACCACCAGAGTGTATATCCATCTTTGATCCTAAAACATCGGAAGCCATAACGGAGCACTCAATATGCCATCCCGGTCTGCCTTCACCCCAGGGACTTGGCCAGCTTGGTTCTCCTGCTTTGGACTTCTTCCAGAGTGCGAAATCTCCTGCCCCTCGCTTACCACCCAAATTCTTCGATAGTGACCCTTCTCCTTCTTCCTGCAAGGCTTTGTCGTTTCTACTTTCTGGTCGTAGTCGCGCATAAGGATTACCGGCTTTCTCGAATGCTGCAATGTCGAAGTAAACCGATCCGTCTGATTCATAAGCAAAGCCCTTATCAATAATTCTCTTTACAAAGGTTGCGATCTTTGGTACATAGGTGGTAACTCGTGTGATAACATCTGGTCGCATAACATTCAGTGCGTCCATGTCTTCCATAAATTGATCCTCCCAGTATTGAGTGACATTGGTGAAAATAGTATGGTCTTTCGCGTCGATCGAATCCTTATACAAAGAATCGAGATGTGGAAGAAGAATCTCATCTGCTCCACCGAAAATCTTCTCTTGTTGGATAGCTTGCGCCGCAGAAGAAAGATTGCTTATATGCATCTTCATCTTGGCTTCCGCATCTCCTGGTTTTCCTTCGCCTGTCAATGTTCCGCCGGCCAATACTTTTCCATATGCAATATCTCTTCTTTCTGCATAATTGTTAGGTGTAAGTTGAGTACCATCTTTCAGTAGCTCAGGGAGGTTTGCTGTTGCGTAGGATTGGAAGGCTTCTGCGGCTAATTTTGCGAGCTCCGGTTCGGTATATGTTTTTGACTTTTCAAGCTCCAGTAGCTTCTGTCTTCGGGCTTTCAAAATAATCTGTCAAAAGATCATCAGTCAATTACCCCGCCATTCTAGATTCTATGCATCCCACCTTGTCATCGACATCTGTAATGTTCATGACAAAATTCAGATCAAAACCAAAATAATCTTTCATGATTCTTCGTATAATATCGGTAGAAACATAGTTCCTAGCATGTCCCAAGTGCGAGTGATCATATACTGTTGGTCCGCAGACATACCAAGAAACCTTTCCCTTCTCAATAGGTACAAATGGGACTGGACCACCAGGCTTTAAAGAGTTGTGAACTTTCAATTGATCCATTTTTGTGAAATTATCCGTAGTAAACTTTCGAACTGTAAGCAAATGAATATAAGAATTAGAGAACGTAGAGAATCTTAGAGAGCGTAAGGGAAGAAACATTCAGTTGGTAGAAATATCATGAAGAAATTGAGTCACTTCTTTGTGTGATAATTGTAGGTGAGTAAAGGGCGGGCTGATTCGTTGATCTAATCCAATGTTACTCAAGTATTACTCGGTGGGCTGAAAATAAATTTGTCGTGGGGGCTATCTTTTTCAGCCTCGTTGTAAGGTTCAAACCTAGCCTTGCGATTATAAAATTATTTCTTTCGCACAGAGGGAACGATGTAAATAGAACAAGATAAAAAAGTCCAGAACTTCTTGAAGTCCTTATCACAAGCAACAACAACCTATTCACGATGAGTAATAAAAGATCACCATTTCTATATCCGGGAGCAATTTCGTCTTCAGATCAATTGGCAATCTTACACTTAAAAAGAGATCTCCAAACTCCAACAATTCTCAAGAGCACCGACGAAAAGGATGAGGGATACGCAGAGGGAAAGGTGACGAACACTCGATTTGGATCTTTTCCGCACACAACGTTGATTGGAATACCATGGGGAACTCAAGTACTTGCATCCAAAGTTGATACCGGATCTAGAGGGCGAAGAGGTGACAAAAAACGAAAGCGAGACGATGTAGAAGCTGTCGAGACCCTGAAAACCGAAGAAGTTACCACAGAAAATGCAGAAGATGGATCGCCAACGCCTACGAGCACCAAAGAGATGACGGAGGCTGTAGCTGCTGGAAGTGGATTCATACATTTCCTGCCCCCTACACCTGAAAATTGGACCAATTCATTACCACATCGAACGCAAGTTGTTTACACGCCTGATTACAGTTATATTTTACATCGTATACGCGCAAGACCGGGAACAAGTATAATTGAAGCCGGAGCTGGTAGTGGATCCTTCACACATGCATCTACAAGAGCTGTATTTAATGGATATCCTGATGAACATACAACAAAGAAGCGCAAGTTGGGCAAAGTCTGGAGTTTCGAATTTCATGAACCGAGACATGCAAAATTAGTTGAGGAATTGCAAGAGCATGGATTGGATGAACTTGTGGAAATCACACATCGAGATGTTTGTGAAGGGGGATTCTTAGTTGATGGAAAAAGTCCAAAGGCTGAATCTATATTTCTGGACTTACCTGCTCCATGGTTAGCGCTCCCACATCTTACTCGATCTCCTCCGCCTCCTATCAAGAACCCTAACGGCGAACTGTCTCCAACGAAGCCCATCACCGAACCATTCATTTCTGCTCTCAATCCAGAAGCACCAGTTCATCTATGCACTTTCTCCCCCTGTATCGAACAAGTTCAACGGACTATATCTGTTATGCGACAACTTGGCTGGGTCGATATTGAGATGGTAGAATTGTCAGCAAAGCGATTTGAAATCCGGCGAGAACGAATAGGTATCGATAACGGAGTACAAAGAGGTCTGCAAACTACACCAGCCAATGTCGAGGAAGCCGTGAGTCGGTTATTAGAAGTTGAAATCGGACATCAAACTTTCCACAAGAAAGGTGATGCTCCAGACAAAATGCCAAGACAAAATCCAAATACTAGGGAAACATTGATAAAAAGTTTGGTCGAGGGCAAGATTTATAAGGAAGGAAAATTGATACACAAGACAGAACCAGAGGTCAGGACTCACACTTCGTATCTGGTGTTTGCAGTGTTGCCGAGGGAGTGGAGTGAAGAGGATGAAAGAAAGGCAAGACAAAAGTGGCAGGTGAACTTTAATGGCGAGACGGAGACTAATACCACAAAACAAGTTGAGCTGCCTATGAGCAAGAGACAAATGAAAAAAGCCGCGAGAGCCAGCCATATCAAACCAGAGGCCGCTGCTGCTCCGCAGGCTGGTGATGGTGTAGGATCTGCAAATGGGGCGACTGGACCAGTCGAAGAGAAGACTGGAGAAAAGCCGGAGGCATAGGCCAGGTAGCACACAATAGGTGTTTCAAGAACATAATAGGTACTCTTACAGCATGTTTCTCCTCGCCCACAAATGAATAGTTTAACCAAGAAGGCTTCTAATTGTGCCTGTATTCATTTGTTTAAAAGTGGCCAATGAGGATTTACATCAAATCTTTCTCTACTTTGCGTTTTACTTCTTCCACAAGAACAAGTTTTCATATGCACACTTTTGATTTGAACAAGACTGACTACGATGGTTATGAGTATTTGCAGTTTTTTACATCTTGACACGAACCCCATTATTCGAACGACGCACAAGTCAAGTGTGTTGTTCGAAGTAGAGTTCGATCTAGAAGAACATTCAACTCTACAATTGCAGTTGCTTCTTCGTTCTTCATTCTTCATCCTTCCAGAAGCTTACCTGGAATTAATTTCTAGCATAAATTCAAAATTATTAGCTGCAATTAGTGTGTGCTACTCACTTACTCGACTGCGATCCCGTTGATATCCCTCCACAATAAGCTCGGGATCTCCTTGTTTTTGATCGAGCCCTCCATATATTATCTGAATGTGCGTATACTACCCTATTGATTTAACTCAACCTATTCAGCATTACTTTTAACACGTTTGTGAGCATTCGCGGAACTTGGATAGCTTCATCCAGTCTGCTAAGCATCCCTTGGCAGTAAGTTATTTTAACTTGATATAAAGTAAGTGTAGCGACACGAAATTGTAGTGTATAATATTGTAAATATCCAGCTATCTAGGTAGGTACTCAAGGGCTTGCTGTAATGGTGGAGTTAGTAGTAACTCCGTTGGAAGCATGCTAACCCCGACAACCCTTTTGCTTGATAAAAGCCCCGAGTGTTTGACACCGTATTTCAATGTGCTCATTGTTACCAGATAATAGTCCCCGATCAAATACCGATATACACTATGACAGCAAAAACATCATTCACTTGGCTAATAACAGGCGCCTCCTCCGGCATCGGTAAATCTCTCGCTCTTGAAGCTCTCAAGTCTGGCGCCAGAGTAGTTGGAACGACTCGCGACATAGACAAAGCTGAAATATCTTTTCCCGAATTCGTGAAAAGAGGAGGAATTTGGATAGCTTTAGATCCCGCTCAAAAAGATGCTTTTGAGAGATTTTCGAAGTGCGCAACAGAGTATGACATCGACGTTTTAATTAATAACGCAGGTTATGCATTTATTGGTGGAGTGGAGGATACAAGGTCGGTTTTTGAATCATGCGCAATAATACTTCCACTGACGTGTACAAATAGCGAAGATGAAGTACGAGAGCAGATGGAGGTCAATTTTTATGGACCTCTCCGAGCCGTACGAGCCTGCCTTCCAGTAATGCGGTCAAAAGGATTAGGAAACCTTGTCCTTATAAGTAGTGGTGCCGGGTATGTCAAAACCAGCTCGTTGGGTCCTTCTCCACTGTTCATTATACTGCTTTTGAAATTCCACTGATAAAATATTGCGCATGTAAAGGTTTATAGCGCGTCCGGCACGATCATCATATTCTGCCAGTAAATTCGCAATTGAGGCAGTTTACGAATCCCTTTCTCATGAACTCAATACTTTCGGTATCAAAGTTCTGATCGTAGAGCCAGGGGCATTCCGAACACCGTTCGCAAGCAGGATCAAGACACCAGCTCAGTATCAAGTCAGCAATGGTTTCAGTGAAGCATACAAAGGTACTGCGGTTGAGCAGATGGTGAACGGAACTGTAAATATTATGTCTATTCCGGACTTTGTGAAAGGAGATCCTGACAAAGCTGCGCGAGCAGTTACCAATGCTATCATAGGAGGACATGATTATCTGCGTATGCCTCTAGGACCTGACTGTGTGACTGCATTAGAAGACAAGATTAGACAATTGCAAAAGGATCTAGATGCGACCAGATTCATCGCTACTGGTACCAATTTTGGTTAATGGATTCGACCAAAGAAAGATTTGGGGTTTGACCGGTTGATATGAAGCCAAGGGGTTGATGTGTCAATGATCCGAATTACATAGCAGGGCGCCCAATAATATCCTCTAAATGCACACAAATATGAGTGGCCTGTACATGCATGTAGCTATTGATATAATCGAGCATTGGACAAAATAATAAGTTTTGATTTCAAATGCACAGATCTCCTTTCTTTAGTTGTCCAACATTGTGTTCAATCCCAAATGCAACATGAGAATGTCTCTCCATCTGCCATTGACTTTCGGATTCTTCTTCAGCAGACTTAGGATTGCCCGTTATGACCTGATCTAATACCGGTCCAAATTTGAGCCTATATTGTCCGGGATCCTTTCGCAATGGTTCGGCACCCAAAGAAGACCTCCCCAAGATTTCGTCCAGTTCCGGGTTACGGGTAGTTGCAACAATAGCTGAAAAGGAATTCGAATGCACTACCCCGTTGGAGTGTATAGCGTAAATGCCGACTGCTACAGCTATGCCGGAAAATAAGAAGGCCAAGCCATACGATATGAGAAGCCAAAACGGATGGTATACATAATAATTGTTCGTGTTAGAGGTGAGAATTTTTTGTAGCTCGCTATCACTCGTCAAATCCGGCGAGCTGAGATAACTGATGGTGATATTGTTTGCCAAATCTTCAATACCACGTGCCAATGTTTGATTTCGACATAGCCAAGGTCGTGTTGTCGAAGTGAAGGTATTGGTAAACGTAGAAGAGGGATTGCTAATAAGATATGAACTTTCATTCTTGAATGGGGTACTGGCGATTTCCTCACAGGCCATCAAACCTGTTCCAAGAATATTAGTTGTTCCATAACCGCTGTATTGTTCATTCTGACTACTGCCAAGAGTGACATCTCGTAAAGTTATGTTCCCGCCAAGTATAGCTCCAAGAGCATATATATGCGGAATATATTGATTCCATAATACCTTTGCCGATCCGCCAGTTGCTGTTGAGGTTGTAACACCATTCGAATCAGTAACTGTAGGTCCGCTTTCTATATCACCGACGTCCATATAAGATAGATCATAATGTCCAATGATTTCGATATCTTGCTGAGTGACATACTGGACTCCATCAATGTACGATACTGCGATATTGAATGTCGCGTTCACTGCGGTACAAACCAATTCCGAGGTTGAAGTTTGGATCCATAGTTGAGGATAATAGGATCCATGTAATGCTAGTGGAGGTGGAAGAAACCCGGTATTTGGTGTGCCTCCTGCATACCAAGTGCTCCACGAAGTGTAAACAATTTTGCCAGAGCCCACGCCGAACGTTGTATTTGTACGATTATCATTTTTATCATCGTATGTGAAGACGTTGTTTTGTTCATAATACTTGGTGATGTTGTTGAATATGGCCTGCTGGGTGTTGTTCGGCTCAATGCATTCTATCGACGGGCCATAAAACTGCAAAGTATATGACCATTCTGATCCGGACACTTGTCTAGATAATCCTAACACATTGATATTTGAGGCTGTATTTATCGCAATGGTATTGGTGATCGAGACAGCATTGTACTGGCCATCCACAGAACTGTTCCAACTGGCTTTAGAAAAATCAAGAACTGGCAAACGCACTTCCTCGGAAATGTTCTTTGCAACAATTGTTAAAGTTGCTGCAGGTGCAATACTTGCGAGTCCCAGAAGCCTGTAAAGAATCAGTGACGGCTCTTCTTACACTTTGAATGTAGGGTTTCCAATAGTCTGAACTAGCAAACTAGATGTGGGATTTTGACATCTTATATCAACTGAACAATCGGAGTCATTTCGATTTCCTCTGTTCATGTATTGCAATTCAGATGATTGGACCTCTGATATTTTACAACATACCATGTAATAGCACCTAACAAAATGGCAAGTTTTGCTCCTTTCAATAGCTCGATGCTGAATAGGGCTATGGGATCCGTTGGCAAAGCAAAAAGACGATCCAAGTTTTCTGTTCCGTAAATTAGTCTATGGATCTTGAAGCCTCATTATAAATAGTACTTATGCTCAATGGTTGGCGTTTGACAACTGTCCAGATATATTGACCTAAAGCAGCCGTCGTTGTTGCCTTAAAACAAGATGTAATTAAAAAGGCAAACCCGGTGCCAATACGGGTGGGCCAAGCTTGTTTTTTCTCGTCGCCAGTTCTTTCGCCGCTGAGCGACATGTAGTAAAGGTGATGGACCAATGAAAGAATGAAGCCAACAAGAAACATCAAGCCAATGAACGAGGGTTTCTTCCAATGAATTCCCCAAGTAGCAAATGGAGGCCTTGAAATTTGTATAGATTTGCTTTGATTGTAAGAAATATCATCACCATCAGTCAAAGATTTGTCGGATAATGATGATGGTACAAAGCTATTTTTATCACTGCCCATAGGTGCCGAGATTGACTCCGGATTGAAAGTAACATCCTCGAGTGCTTGGTAGTCAATTGATTCATCGGCTGGTCTGCGCCGACTTAGTTCAATCATTTTAAAAGTTAAAAGAAGTCTTGGTCCTCATGAGAGATTGTTTCAAGCAGTTGAATGGAGATGCCAGACTTTGACACATGAGGCTGAAATTTTCTTCCGTTTCTGCTTCTCCTATATAATGTCTGCTAATTTACTACTATGCGAACTGGGCAGCTGGCCTCGCCCACATCGATGCCCCATAAAAGATATAACAGTGCTTGGGCGTCGTGTCAAGCCCACTAAATGATTGGGATTTCACCGCCTGGCTCTGAACCATTCTCAGGAACTGAATAAAAACTTCAGCATCAAGCCCAGGTAAGACCGGTAGACTTTAATGTCGAAAATTTATTACTTGGTTATCAGGGTATTTTGAGCCTTTGACGGTGGAAAGTAAACTTGAGCGTTCGATCTTGGTGTTTGGACTTTGTCTCCTGCCCCAAATCATCTATATCAGTATAACTTCCGAGTCATCCGTATCAGTATAACTCCCGAATTGTTGCATTCGAGATTCGAAGCCAGCACTACAGTACCTAGAACACTATTCCATCGTGGAATATTCGGGTTAAGTGCTTTACAATTTTGTTATCGGGCAGCTACCTTTTGCATCGATACCATTACTCCTATATATACCACAATGTACGGAGCGTGCCATGGGTCGCATTGAGGTTTAAGGGTTGACATCAACACTCATTCCATTGCTTTTGAGCGTCAGGTGACTCATTCATGTTACAACAGGGATATCTCTACAGAATTGCTACTCCCCAGCCATCTTTGAAAGGAGTCCATTATGCGAAAGCATTCTGCGCCTTTGCACCACGGTGTCAGTCAACCTACTCTATACCCTAGTTCTCCGTTCTCGTTAACTACCCCGGCTTCACAACTTCAGCACTACGAGCCGCCGCCGCAAAAAAGAACTCCAACCCATCCAATGAAATATCCTTCGCGCATATCAGACAATGATTCCCCGTCCACCGATTGGCTCCCCATTTACGAATTCAATACACCTAAGATGAAGCGGACATTGTACGTCTCATTCATAACATGGTCCGAAATTATCATCGCTTGTCAGCAATCTCGGAGTATGAAGCGATGGCAAGTACCTCGACAAGACGCCTTGGATTGAGCTCAACGATTCTGATACGGTAAAATCACCGATTTGGTTTTTTTTAACTTTTTTAACACGAGCTGGTCCAGACCTCAAAATGGAACTAGAGGCCACGATTACATATCGCGTACCGGTATCTTCGCAAAAGCGCAATTTAGCTTTTGTAAAGAATTCCCTTCTTTCATGATCAGACGATCCCTAGCCATCATCCCGGATCACTATCCTAATATTGGGAATGCCAGGGTTGTGCGCCACCATCTGATTCCTTCATTATCATTGGATAGTAATCACTCTCGAGTACCTAGGTACTTGACAGAAAGCATGTGATCAAATTGCCTTGTCAATCTGGTATCCCTGGACTGTCATCTCAGTTCCCCCGAAGAATCTTTTAGCCCTTCCAATTAGCATCCTCAGAAGCTCAGCAAATACATGCAGCTGTGAACCAGGGATTTGGCTTCGGCCAAGCTGATTGTAGTGACCCTGCATACAACAGGTCTTAGCAAGAGCACCTTGCCATGTGCCAATTTCGTTATGGCTCGGGCCACCAATGCTTGATTCTGGAAGAATTTCGTACAATCCATCTAACAAGATCAAGATGTTGGTCTTTTAGTATTCGTTCTTGTTGAAAGGAACGAACGACTACCTAGGTATCAGTTTGAGAACCTACTCCACTGGTGCTTTATAGGGGCTGACATGACAGCAATCATTGTGACAGCAATCACCATGCAGTCTAAATTTGAGATTTAGTATATACTTACAGTGTTTGCTGCACCGGCCATCATGCCCCTGCTGCATTAGCCACACCTGCTGTATCTAAACCTTACCATTGATACGATCCGTTCTGCCCGAATGTACTTTCTGATTTGCTGGTATCCTTGAATCGACTTTTATGAATCCGAATATATCAGTGAATTCCCGTTCCACCACTTTCGAAAGCTTGTTTCAATGGGTTCCATGATACAATAGGATCCAATCAGAGATAATTCCAACCATACGAGCTATATACGCCGTAAACATGAATGCAAGGATTCAATTCCTCCGCTTAGAAAAGTGGAAGCCACTGGACGGCGCTAACAACCCCGCACTGAATTTCCCCAACACCCCAACTCCCCAAGTTCTCCACCTTCGGGTGAATAATAGAGCGACCCAATATTCCGTGTGCTTTATGCGCGTTGTCGCAGGGATAAATATTTAAAAACCCATAAGACACCCACTTGCGCCTTCCTCTCTTTCTTCTTCACGTTTCTTCCACAAATCGACAATATGAGTAACGCTATCACAGAAGAAAAGCCGACCTTGTCGGAGGTCGAAGCACATCCCACCTCCGCCGACATACCTGTTTACGGTGATGAGAAGATCGATGACAGAGCGCGCGCCATCAATGCCGAGAAAATCGAACATGACATGACTGTGCTCGAGGCTGTGAAAGCCTACCCCGCTGCCAGTTGGTGGGCATTCGTCATGTCATGCACCATTGTAAGCTATTGGCCCATGATAGGCTCTTGCCACGATAGGCATATCATTTATCTAACTTGGTGACAGATCATGGAGTCCTATTGTGTTTTCCTAATGGGGCAATTCATCGCTACAACGCAATTCGTTAACGATTTCGGTGTAACGAGCGCTGTGACCGGGAATAAGATTATCGAAGCTTCATGGCAATCGGCATTCCAGTGTAGTGGACCACTAGGTGCTTTTATCGGTGTCTTCATCGCAGGTCCCATCACTAGTAAGATTGGGTATCGATGGGCAACTATTGGCGGTCTCATGGCTCTGAACGCCTTCATCTTCATCTTCTATTTCGGCAACAGCCAAGGCATGTTTTTCGCGTCTCAGATCTTAGAAGGCATTCCATGGGGTATTTTCATCGCCAATGCACCCGCTTATTGCTCCGAAATTGTGCCATTGAGATTGAGAGCTCCAGCGACGCAGATGTTGCAGATGTTCTGGGCCATTGGCGCACTCATTGTCGGCGGTATCACATACCACTACCAATCCAAGTTGGACTCTTCAGCGTACAGGTTCGTCTGCTCCCATAGATACTATCGAGGAGGTCTGTACTAATAATCATATCAGAGTTCCCATTGCACTCCAGTGGATGTTCCCCACTCCTCTCGCTATTCTACTCTTCATTGCGCCTGAATCACCCTGGTGGCTTGTTCGAAAAGGTCGTCTCGCCGAGGCAGAGAAGGCCATTGCACGACTTGGGCGCGCTTCTGCAAATGATAATCCCGCTGACGCAGTCGCGATGATGCGACGTACAATCGAGCTCGAGAAGAGCGTAAAGCAGCCCAATCTTGTTGAGCTCTGGAAAGGTACCGATCTTTACCGCACTTTGATTGTTTGCGGTGTATACGCATCTCAGAATCTGACGGGTAATCTGATCGCTAACCAGGCGGTGTACTTTTTCAAACGTGAGTCTACCCATTCCTTGTAATGATGAAACAAACTGACATCAATTCAGAGGCTGGCATGGCAGATAACACCGCATTCGCTCTCGGTCTCATTACTTCTGCCCTCCAGCTGATCATGGTCATTATCTCTTGGGTCCTCACTACATACCTCGGCCGACGGACTATTTATGTCTATGGTCAATTCATTGCCACTGGATTTCTAGTCGCGCTTGGTATTGCGGCTTCAGTTGGTAATAGCAACGCGGCTACTAATGCGCAAGCATCACTTGCCTTGCTTGTCTCAGTCCTTTTCTGCTTGGGACCTGCCCCTGCGTCATGGGTCATTATTGGCGAGACCTCTTCCGTTCGTCTTAGACCACTAACAACCGGTATCGGACGAGGTGCTTATTACTTGGTCAATATTCCTTGTATCTTCCTTGCTAGTTACATGCTCAATACTGATAAATGGAACCTGGGCGGCAAGAGTGGCTACATCTGGGCTGGTACTGCCTTGTTCTGTAGTATTGTGTCTTGGATCTGGATTCCAGAGATGAAGCATAGATCCTTCCGTGAGATCGATATCCTGTTCACGCGTAAAGTGCAGGCTCGCAAATGGTCGAAGACAGTCATCGACATCAACGATGATGAGTAGATGGAAGTTGTTTGAAGAGGCTTAAGTAGCACTACTTCGGGAATGGGCGGTAGAGAGGAGTTTCTTCCTGGATATTGTCCAATAATTATTTTCAAGATTAGTTGCATAGTAAAGATCATATCGAAACTAATATCACGTTCGTATTGCATGGATATAGACTGAAATTAAAACACGATTGCAAAAACGCGAGTAAAATCAATATCTAATTGCATTACTCAATAGGGAGATGGAAATTCCCCTTGCGCCGCTGTAACACCACGAATATTTAAAATTGTTTGTTACATTTTTTGAATCTACTGGAATCTTTTTTTTTTGGAAACTCTTATAAACATACAAATGACCAAACGCGATGTTAATCGTAGGAGCTTCCTACCTCCTACATTCCTCCGGTAGTATTGAACGTATATGGGTAGAGTAATGTTCATATCATTGTGACTAGGGTTCTAGGACTATGGAAGAGTCTCTTTAAGAGAGTGCTCTGGATTACTAAGCTAGTCGAAGCTAGTGGACCATGAAACATATCAACAGACTTTTCAAGTTAAATAAACATATTAATTAAATAATGTGCCTGAAAATTTGAAAGATATTAATTGATTCTGTTAAAAAGCCACATTATTTAATTTAATATAAAAAGACAACTACTGAACTAATAATGTAGGACACTCCTACAATTATAAAGTATTTGATACTTTGGAGTTAATGCTTTAAAGTTATCAAGGTTGAACATAGATTTAGTATAATTACTAGTCAGCCAACATACATGAGTATTCGATTCTAGTATCTTGACATGGTGTTTAAAGTCGTCCAATTTCATGTCATCATTGAACCAGCCTAGATCACAAAAACCCGTTTTACTTCCCTTCTCTACTAATATTCAGCTTTCATACGTGAATGTTCTCCGGTTCTCGTGAACATTGCGCGGACTCATTGTCCTCAACTGTCAAATCTCCATAACTTCTGGTTCGCCCTGCTGTCATCATTTCCACCGTTTTGAGAACATCTGCATAGGATGGGCCCCAACTTTGCATATACAATGGTAAGGCAAAAAATCACCAAATTGATGCTGCACGGGCGACTTTCCGTCCAATTTATTTAGGAGCATTAAGTCCATTTCCCTGTTGTCCGCTCTCAAGTTAGAGAACCCACAATAGTGAAAGAGTTAGGTATTCTAAGACAATTCTCGCATTTCCTGACGCGGAAAGGTATGCTGACTTTTAGCGTCATCACAAAGCTCAATCAAGTGATTCATAATAGTGATAATAACAGATTCTTTTACAATCTTGCAAAACTAAGCAGATCCATGTTTTGGAATATCTTGATCGTTTTCAGAACATTTTCTATTATGTATAATAGGATGGTTCCCTCATTGAATATCAATGACACTATTTACTTGAAACAACTGATGTTCAGTACAAACTATCCTTGAAGAGATGTGATAAGCAAAATCGATACTTTTAGCATCTACTACCAAGATTTTCCCAAGCGATACATAAGGGTGCCGTGTCCCAAAGCATTATAACCGCCAGAATTTGGGCTGTAATCACCATCAACACTCTCAATATTGGCTTTCAAAATCTTATTGATATAATCCCGATACGTTCTCGACCATAATGCATTGAGACCTTTGATCTCTGCATAGTGCGAATAGATTGCCTCGAAACCAGAACGAATATCAAATCGGGATTTACTCGCAACAACTGGCAGTACACCTTCCCAGCTTGTATATGGGTGTATGGAACAGTGTTATTCGTATTGTACTTCGCGGCATACTCGGCTCTTTTGAAAGTTAGCTGGCTCCAAGAAGTTACAGAGAGTTCCAATCTAGCGTTTCCTGGAGTGGCACATACCCGTTGAGAATTTGGTTGCCAGATGTGGCATAGAGATCCACGTTCTGATTATATCCTTGCTGCCCAATTACTCCAAGCAGAGGAAAGTCAATTAAAGTGTGGGCCTAATCACGTCCTACCTCTTACCCCTACATAAGAACCTTCTCTAAACCCTCTTCGGTGTGATTTGCATCAAATGAGAAAAAAAGAGCACCATTAGCAACTACGGCATCAGAAAGTTCATACCTGGAATAATTGATAGTGTAATTATACATAATAGCATTACCATTAAAAATTCCGATTGCCATCAGTGAGGCAATTTTGCATAAATCCCAGTTAGCATAGTAGAAGTTGGGTTTATTGTTATAATGATCAAGAAAGTTGCGATTCATTTTCGAGAATATACTAAGCATATTGCTGAAAGATGATTGATTGGCGGCTGACCAGCCTGAATATAATCACAAGAGCTCCCCAGAATTCGCGAATTGGTAGCCATAAAGTCCCGCAGCAAGAAAAATATCTTTGTTGCCCCAGATACCTATCAAATTTGTGCTCCAGCCGTTTAATGTAGCAGCAGTAGCAGCATCGACGCAGGAGCTGTTTCCTGATAAAATCCAACGTAACGATAACTGATAGACCAAGTGAACATCGCGATATGCATGGGCATAATTCTCAGTGTATAGATTGTTGCTTTCACGAACGAGAATCTCTTGGGGTGTTGATACCCAGATTGTCTGGGCTAGCTTTTCAGTTTCCAGATGTTTCTAAGCAGTATACCACAATCCTTCTTGCTTCTCTATGTGCGCCTTGATTTTGCTGAGGTCTACGGCCGTGTGCAAGGCTCCAGAGTGGACAAAGAGCTGTATTTCATCGCCACGCTCCTGTAGCCCGTCACTGTTTCCATCTCGTTCAATATTTCTCGCGCAGGTTCCAAGCATCCATAGCGACACCATTGTGATACTAGTTTTGAGCTGCATATTTTCCTGACTATCTCGTCACGTACTATCGTGTAGTAATTAGGCAGAGAAGGATATAAGTAATTCGGAGAATTGAAATATTCTAATACAGGCAAGACAGAAAGAAGAGATGGGAAGAAAGGATTTAAATACTTTTCCGCCCATGGTCTCAATCACTTCTATCTTCTGCAATGGTTTTGGGATCACTCCACAGACATCACTAAGGATGGTGAGCTAGCAAGGCAGGATAGACGTGATCTCAACTCAGACCTTCAAGAGTATCGCGGGTCCCAATCTCTGAGCTTGCCCGTTGCCGTGCAAAAACAAACAAGGGTCTTTGAGCTGTGGGGTAGTGTGGGGTAGTGTGGAGTGAAGATTGCGTAGGAGGTTGGGGAATCGGAAATTATAGGCTGACCGGATGCCCCATATTCTTGTCGTCTCATTGTGAGAACCAAGAGTTGGGTCCGGAAATTAGTGCGTATCTTTGCGTTTCGAAAATTTGCCGACTTCCTTCAACACAGCGCGTGCTATGGCATTTTCCAAATATACCTTAGTGCAAGTGATACTTCTAGGGCCTCACAGTTCACAGTGAACGGAACAAATATTATAAGGCGTTATGATTCATGATTTGCCAGAACTCAACACCTGGTGTGACAATCTATGCCGATAGTTTAAGGCTCAGAGTGTCTATCGTCTGATGCGGACGAATTCCCGGACAAACAGTCGCAACGAGTCTAATGTAGCTAGTCAAAGATTTCTATATTCAGTTTTGACTTCATGTAGTCCAACAGTGGATAGCGGAGTGAGACGTATGGACGGAACCATCTTTCCGATGAGCTTGTACAGCCACTGATTATCAGGAGGTATGAAGAGACTCAAACTCAGTCCGTTGAATTCAGCGGGTATCGCCCATCTTGACCATAGCTTTGGCAATATTTGTATAAATTTCACTCTAAATGAGCTTTGAAATCCGTCCGAACATTACCCTAATGATTACAACACAATTCTTATGGTCATTAGGTGTGATATTATATGAAATCTAAGTCTTTCTGGCGCGGAGAGGTTCTAAGCGGGGTTCCTCTGGCACTTTGGCCGTTATCCGGTATACTACAACTTTTTATCTGGATCCTTTAACCGCTGAAGAAGAGCTGCCTAAAAATCTCACGCTTGTACAAGAGGGGATGTTCAGATACCACAACGTGGCTTTCCCAATCTACGAGAAAATAAACATTTTTTTTTTATCAATCTCAAGTTATTGAAACGCACTTGGGCTCAGCACATAAAGGTTCAGATTCAAAGCGAACCCTGAAGTAATCTGACAATCCAAACGATGAGCGGTACTTCAGAAATCAAGATCTATGAGATCCCACATAGCATTCCTACAAATGAAG